CCGGGTCATGTTATATGCTGCAGTCCGGGCCATGTTACAAGCTGCAGTCTGGGTCATGTTACATGCTGCAGTCTGGGTCATGTTACATGCTGCAGTCTGATTCATGTTACATGCTGCAGTCCTGTTCATGTTACATGCTTCAGTCCGGGTCATGTTATATGCTGCATTCCGGGCCATGTTACAAGCTGCAGTCTGGGTCATGTTACATGCTGCAGTCCAGGTCATGTTACATGCTGCAGTCTGGTTCATGTTACAAGCTGCAGTCCGGGCCATGTTTAATGCTGCTGTCCGATTCATGTTACATGCTGCAGTCCTGTTTCTGTTACATGTTGAAGTCCGGTACATGTTACATGCTGCAATCCGGGTCATGTTACATGCTGCAGTCCGGGTCATGTTACATGCTGCAGTCCGGTTCATGTTTCATGCTGCAGTCCGGGTCATGTTACATGCTGCAGTCCGGGTCAGATTACATGCTGCAGTCCGGGTCAGATTACATGCTGCAGTCCGGGTCATGTTTCATGCTGCAGTCCTGTTTATGTTACATGTTGAAGTCCGGTACATGTTTCATACTGCAGTCCGGGTCATGTTACATGCTTCAGTCCTAGTCATGTTACATGCTGCAGTCCTGGTCATGTTACATGCTGCAGTAATGTTCATGTTACATGCTGCAGTCCGGTTAATGTTTCATGCTGCAGTCCGGGTCATGTTATATGCTGCAGTCCGGGCCGTGTTACAAGCTGCAGTCTGGGTCATGTTACATGCTGCAGTCTGGGTCATGTTACATGCTGCAGTCCTGTACATGTTACATGCTTCAGTCCGGGTCATGTTATATGCTGCATTCCGGGCCATGTTACAAGCTGCAGTCTGGGTCATGTTACATGCTGCAGTCCAGGTCATGTTACATGCTGCAGTCCAGGTCATGTTACATGCTGCAGTCTGGTTCATGTTACAAGCTGCAGTCCGGGCCATGTTACATGCTGCAGTCCTGTTCTTGTTACATGCTGCAGTCTGGGCCATGTTACATGCTGCAGACCTGTTCATGTTACATTCTGCAGTCCGGGTCAGGTTACATGCTGCAGTCTGGGACATGTTACATGCTGCAGTCCTGTTCATGTTACATGCTGCAGTCTGGGTCATGTTAAATGAGTGTTTCATTATCCACTCTTAATGTTAGCAGTTTCTTTCGTTATATTCAAACACATTTTCTTATGTTAAGTGAATAGGCTAATACAGTGAAGGAGGGAAATCATACACAACTAGGCTAATACAGTGAAGGTGGGAAATCATACACAACTTACGCCAGTGGTTCTTAACGTGTGTAGTCAATCCAAAAACATTTTAATTAAGTGAAGACAAGAATTTTAAGTATTTAAACATGTCTCTGTTTTAGAAAAATCATTTTAAATAATATTTCTTTTTCAATTTTAAAAATTAAATGATTCCTTAAATGAAGCCTTAAAGGATGCCTAAAATGACGCCTTAAACGATGCCTACAATGACGCCTTAAACAATGCCTAAAAAGACAACTTAAACGATGCCTGAAATGACGCCTTAAACGATGCCTTAATAGACGCAGCCTTCAAAGATGCCATAAATGACGCCTTAAATGACGCCGTAATTGATGCCTTAAAAGATGCCTTAAACGATGCCTTAACTGACTACTAAAACAATGCCTTAAATGACGCCTGAAATGAAGCCTTAATTGATGCCTTAATTGATGCCTTAAACGATGCCTTAAATGACACCTTTATCGATGCCGTAAACGATGCCTTAAATGACGCTTTAAATGATGCCTTAAATGACGCCTTAAATAACACCTAAATTGATGCCTTAAACGATGCCTTAAACGATACATTAAATGACGCCTTTAAGGATGCCTTAAAAGATGCATGAAATGATGCCTTAAATAACGCCTTAAACCAATTTTAACTATGCCTAAAACAACGGCTTAATGACGCCCAGAGGCGTAGCGTGGTGGGGGCGGGGAGGACAGATGTCCCCGGGTGCCAGCTAGTTAGGGGCGCCAAAATGTGCTTTGATATTATTTTATTGATGAAAATAATGGGTTTGAGAGTCGAAAAAAAAAAGGGGCGCTAAAAATGGATCTTGTCCCCGGGCGCGGATCTTGTCCCCGGGCGCGAATCTTCTCCCCGGGCGCCAAACCCCCTCGCTACGCCACTGATGACGCCTTACATGATGCTTTAAAAAGACGCCTCAAACGATGCCTTAAATGACGTCTTAAACGATGACTGAAATGACGCCTTAAACGATGCATTAAATGGCGCCTTAAAAGATGCCATAAATGACGCCTTAAACCATGCCTTAAATGAAGCCTTAAACGATGCCTTAAATGACACCTAAGCTGATGCCTTAACTGAAGCCTTAAACCATGCCTTAAATGACGACTCAAACGATGCCTTAAAAGACGCCTTAAACATGCCTTAAATGACGCTTTTAAACATGCCTTAAATGACACCTAAGCTGATGCCTTAAATTTAAATGGCCTGAAAAAAAGAAAATCTGAAAACATCCTTCAATGTCCATGTTTCTAACAATTTAATAATATCTTACTACTAATAAGAAATTTGAACAGTAACTTGTTGGCTGATTGGTGAATAATGTGTCTTATCCAAACATTAGGACAGTAACTTGTTGTCTATCCAAACAGGACATTAACTTGTCTATCCAAACATATAATCTCCAACTAATTTTTTCCTTTCCTATATAAATTTTGTTGCTTGGGAAATTCAAAACACGGTCGGGGGGGGGGGGGTTTTTAAACCCCTCCCCCCCCCCCCCCCAATCTGCTTGCAATTGACTGCTTCGCCCCCCCCCCTTCCCGTACAGGCGCCCATGACTTTATATCATGGCCTGCATACCTCACAATACAACCATTTAATTTTCCTAGTGTATTGTCTCTTATTTTATAACAGTTAATGCTCCGAAAAAATATATAAACAATTAATAACTGAGTTTTAATTAACACCAAAGCAAATGTAAAACAAAATTATAAATACATTTCAAAATGTCAACAATTGCATTTGTCATATTTTATTAGTTTTCCACAGCTGACTTCTTTTTCCCTGGTACCAAATGACCATCGTTTCATTTCGGAGCTTGAAATAAACCGGTCTAGTCTATTTCTTTGTTACTTCTACTTCTATTTCTCGTTTAGTAAATGCAAACCCTATCCAAGATATCTGTTTCATTTAAGAAATGGGGGCTCAAATCACGAGTATAAAACTAAAACAACTCCACTTAGACTTTAGACAATCTTTTAAATCTTCATCTATCATCTTTAACAGCTTTAAATGTTTTACACAAATAACATATTAAGTAAGGGTTGCACAAAAATAATTTAATAACTTATTTACCCTCTAGCCTATTTAATACTAACTTATTCAGCATGTAGTCTATTTAAGACTAACTTATTTAAAGTGTACACCCAGCTGAAATCAGTGCGACGCCAACAGTTTAACAAATACTGACATGATCCTTAACTCCCCATCTGATCACAGAATACTGACATGATTCTTAACTCCCCATCTGATCACAGAATACTGACATGATCCCTAACTCCCCATCTGATCACAGAATACTGACATGATCCCTAACTCCCCATCTGATCACAGAATACTGACATGATCCTTAACTCCCCATCTGATCACAGAATACTGACATGATTCTTAACTCCCCATCTGATCACAGAATACTGACATGATCCTTAACTCCCCATCTGATCACAGAATACTGACATGATCCCTAACTCCCCATCTGATCACAGAATACTGACATGATCCTTAACTCCCCATCTGATCACAGAATACTGACATGATCCTTAACTCCCCATCTGATCACAGAATACTGACATGATCCCTAACTCCCCATCTGATCACAGAATACTGACATGATCCCTAACTCCCCATCTGATCACAGAATACTGACATGATCCCTAACTCCCCATCTGATCACAGATACATTGATATTACGCCACCCGTTGTTTTTTCCTCTTCTTATTTCTTACTATAATAAATCAAGTGACAAGTATTTGTCGAAAACTCTAGTTTTATGACATCATAAATGAATGTATAGAGCAGTGGTTCTCAACCTTCCCAATGCCGCGACACTTTAATACAGTTCATCATGTTGTGGCAGAGGCGTAGCGATAGGGGGTCAGGGGGGACAGATGTCCCCGGGCGCCAGCTAGTTAGGGGCGCCAAAATGTGCTTTGATATTATTTTAATGAGGAAAACAATGGGTTTGAGAGTTTAAAAAAACAAAAAGGGGCACTTTAAAATGGATCTTGTCCCCGGGCTCGAATCTTGTCCCCAGGCGCCAAACACCCTCGCTACGCCTCTGTGTTGTGGCGACCCCCAGGTCAAAATTATTTTCGTTGCTACTTCATAACTGCTGTAGAGCATATGTGTTTTCAGATGGTCTTAGGCGACCAGTGGGAAAGGGTCGTGCGACACCCAAAGGGGTCGCGACCCACAGGTTGAGAACCGCTGGTATAGAGTCTAAATTGTTGTAATCTCTAACCAACTGGTTGACGTTTAATTTACTAGCGGTGATTATGGTGCTCTCCCCTGAGATTATGTATTTAAAAATATAAAAATAATATTTAAAAATATAATATGAAATGCAGTAATTAGTTTATAGGTGTGTTATTATGTATTGATTTCATTACGACACATATATTAATTGTTTTAGCAAGGTTCAGTTTGTAGAATCTTATTGGTTGCTTTGGGGACAAAATTGGTTGAAAATAATTGTCTAGTTTACAAAGGAATGTTTAATAGCACAAATTAAAATTGAATTGAAATTAATTTTGTAAGAGATTTTTATATAAATGTTATTTTATAATTGTCTTAAAACTGACATTAGCTTTGTCACTTTTTATCATTAGTGATATGAGTTAAAAGTTACCTTTCAATTGTCTGAATAATAAAGTTCTTTTAATTTTAATTAGCTAATTTGAGCTAAATGAAACTCTATCAACTCCCTTATGTGTCCTTTGAGTTAAACGAAACTCTCTATCACCTCTTTTAGGTGTCCTTTGAGCTAAATGAAACTCGCTATCACCTCTTTTAGGTGTCCTTTGAGCTAAATGAAACTCTCTATCACCTCTTTTAGGTGTCCTTTGAGCTAAATGAAACTCTCTATCAACTCCTTTAGGTGTTCGTTATTTGCCCCAACCATCTCCCGCAGTTTGACACCATCCTTGTAGAAGTGGAAAGTGGGTAAAGCTGCTACGTTTTCACTCTCAGCCAGTTCTAAGTTGTCTTCTATGTTAATCTTTGCAAATACCAAATTTTCATACAGGGATAAGAGTTGCTCTATATAGGGAGCAATCTTTTTGCAAGGGCCACACCAAGTAGCAAAGAAATACACAACAATCAATTTGCCAGACTCCTTTAGAATGAGGTCGTATTCCTCCTTCCTTTTGATGAGATGAAGTCTTGGCTTAGGTCTTATCATTCCTAGCGGTGGATGTATTGTTTCTGTTGAGAAAGAGAAACATTCATTTCAGACGATATCTTTCAACATAAATACATTCCAACACATGGACACGAGACTTTATCTTCCAACATAAATACATTCCAAAACAGGGACATGAGACTCCATCTTTCAATATAAATACATTCCAATACCTACCATTACTATCTTTAAGGAACAGCGATAAAGAGATTGCTCATTATACATTACCCTAAACATGGTCTTGGTTAGCACTAAATAATGGACTAGTTTACCCCCAACAAGGGACTAATTTACCCTTAACAATGGACGAGTTTATATTATACAATGGACTAATTTATCTTTAACAATGGACTAGTTTATCTTTAACAATGGACTAGTTCACACTAAACAATGGACTAATTTACACTAATAAATGGATTAGTAACTTAACAAGGACTTGAGTAATTTAATAATGACTTATGTAACTTAAAAATGACTTAAAGGAACTTAAAAAATGACTTATTTAAAATGTCTTAAAGTGACTTAAAATTGACTTAAGAACTTAACAATGACTTAAGTAGCCTAACAATGACTTAAATAACCTAACAATGACTTAGTGACTTAAAAATGATTTAAGTAACTTAAAAATGATATAAATAACTTAAAAATGACTTAAATAACTTAATAATGACTTAAAGTAACTTAACAATGACTTTAAAAGTTAAAAAGTCAATGACTCATGTACCGAATAGTTTATAAGACTGGGGGGGAGGGGGGGTCGCCGGGAAATGTTTTGAAATTGAGTGGGGGATGTCGCTGCAAAAGGTTAATAGCCCTTGCTGTAGTTACTCCACTTACACCCACCAAAGTTCCCCCCACCCCACACACACACAAAGAGAGAACAAAATTCAAGTCCAAACCTGTGATTTTGACACCAGCCCGTAAATAGGTAGCTAGAGTTGGGCCTGACATCTTGTAGCTGTTAAAGACACAATTCGGAAACTTATTAAAACGAATAAAATAACAAAATTATGTAATGAAGTATAATATGATGTAACTAGCTGTAGTACGCATTCTATGCCGGTTGGGGGGGGGTGACACATATTGAGAAAACCACGGCTGGCCATGACGTTTTACACGTGCATGTTACAAACAAGTCAGGTTTGCCACTCATCATGGCCAAAGCATCTTGATAATTGTCAGCTATGGACTTCCTATGAAGGATGAAGGAAATGTAACTTTCTTTCCATCCACTATGCTAACTACCTCAAAATTGTGCTTGTTCACAAATCGTTAAAGTCTTCAGCCATTATTGTATTTTGATTTTTTAGAAACCAATTCAACCATTTTGCCTTGGTCTTGTAGTAGGCATCATCTATGATTTGGTAAGTCAGCTTTCCTGTGTTAAAGAACTGGTTTAAGTGCCCATCATGAATGGCAATATGGCATGAATACCATTAAAGCTGGGACACATTTCCTTAACCAACAGCTTTATTCAGATCTGTGGTCCAACGGGTAGCAAATTGGGTCAGATAGTCTCCCAGAATGGATACATTTGGCAAAATTACGCATTCTGGAGGCACCACCTGCAATGTTAACAACAGCAGCCATGTCTCCTCTGGCAGTGGGAGCGTTCGTTCCGCCTGGGTGATCATTATTTACTTTTTCGGCTATATTCAATAGGCGTTTGGTTTTCCCGATTTGCCTTCAGCATTTTGACTTGTTCCAATTGGAGCATCTCATCGCCAAAAACGTCACAATACAAACTAAACAGCAACAGCTACACAATTAATCTTGACACCAATTACGATCACTAAAATATATCTACAACGATGACGGACAATCTACCTCCAGTGCTGTATTATAGATATGGGTAGTGCAAGACAGAACAAATCTCCTTTCAGTTGGCATCAAACATTTAACATCAGGTGGGCCATGGACCACATACGTTTGAGAAATACCGCAGTGCCAGTATATAGTATACAAGAGAAATTTAAGCACAACAAAGTTGTTACCGTAATAGAAGAAGTATAAAGACAGGGAAATGTAAGTTCTCTAAAAGTTGATATTTCCTTCAGAGAATAAGAAGACAGCTTTTAAGACTTAGAAATGGCCAGACTGACAAAACACTCGTCCACAAAAATGGTTTCCTTTTCTTGTCATAGGTCATAGGTCACACCACTGCAGTGTTATCCCCTCATTTTACCATTTTTACACACAAAGAAATCAACATTAAGGTGATCACTCATGAGTTTTCTTGCATACACACACAAAGTTTATATTAGGTAAAACATACTACATATGTCTGCTATGTATAGATCATTTCAGTTTGGACTACCTACTACAAACTGCGTGTTCCTTGTATATACCTCTCAGCAATAATTCTTGACAGACCGGTCGCAGGAAGGGAGGCAGCAAGGCGGTCTTAGCGTTAGAATTATATCATTTCAGTTTGGACTACCTACTACAAACTGCGTGTTCCTTGTACATACCTCTCAGCAATAATTCTTGACAGACCGGTCGCAGGAAGGGAGGCAGCAAGGCGGTCTTAGCGTTAGAATTATATCATTTCAGTTTGGACTACCTACTACAAACTGCGTGTTCCTTGTACATACCTCTCAGCAATAATTCTTGACAGACCGGTCGCAGGAAGGGAGGCAGCAAGGCGGTCTTAGCGTTAGAATTATATCATTTCAGTTTGGACTACCTACTACAAACTGCGTGTTCCTTGTACATACCTCTCAGCAATAATTCTTGACAGACCGGTCGCAGGAAGGGAGGCAGCAAGGCGGTCTTCTTTATCCATTAAAAAGTCAAATCGGGCTTTTGTTTCAGCGGCCTTTTCGACATGTTTCATGACTCTATAGTAGTCCACGTCCTGGAACATGGTGATGACAAGGTGATAACATGGTAATAACATGTTAATGATATGGTGATGACATGGTGATGACATGGTGATGACATGGTAATGACATTGTGATAGCATGATGATGACATGGTGATAACAAGATGAATACATGGCGATGAGTTGTTGATGACATGGTGATGACATGGTGATAACATGGGGATAATATGGTGATGACATGGTGATAACATGGGGATTAGGGTGGTTCATTGAGATATGGCAAAAAATGAAATTTGTGCTATAGAACAAGACACCCTCCCAAGTTTTTACATCTGCTAATAGTAATGTTTTGGTAAAGTTTTAGCTTTAAATTCTAACTACAAGACGGTGCTCAAGAGCAATATAATATCCAAATTTTACGAAATTTGAGCAAAATGAAGCAATACGCATATGTTGAATGTTTTAAAATTACAACCAGCAATAGCTTTTTAATATCAACAGTTCAACACTCTTTTCCAAATGTAACCACTAAGCTTAAACATATGGTTATTGGCATTTGTCACAATTAAAAGGTCAAATTGTGCTGTGCCATCAAAAAATTTGAAAATTTAATCAACACAAATTCAAGTCACAAAAGCGTGCATTATCAGTCAATGTTATTGTCATTCTAACATTAAGGCCTGAACAGCAGACTTTTTGGTGATTTGTGTTGGAACAACCTTGCGGTTTGCTTCCACTACTTGCAATAAGAGTTGTTTTTCTTCTTCGTCGTTAGTAAGCAGTGTGTTGTATTCTTCAGAAAGCTTCACCTCTCGCTCTGCAGTGTCGTTCACAACACGTGATGACTTGAATCGTGTCTGGCCATATCGATACTGTTCACTTGCAGGCCACTCTTGTGGTGGCAAATCAAGAAAGGCGCTGTCCATGTTAGGACAACAAAGAAGGTTCCCCGTTCTGGAATTTGCAAAGTCACCTAAACATACATCTGGTTTCATTAGAAGTGATGAATCTCCACGCACTTTTCATTCGCCAGCCTCACGGGTCCTTCCCTGAACAATTCCCATCTTTGCAGCTGCTGTCACATGATCTGAGAACAGGGATAATCCAACAAGCTCGTCTGAAAGATACCAGAGATGATTTTCCAGGACTTTTCTTGCATCTGTACTGATGTCAGGATCGATGATCTGGTAACTGCTGAGATCAGTCCACAGCTTTAAATCACTGGATGGAGCTTCAGTTGCACGGGGAGCAGTTACCCAATGATTGGTGTAAATTTGTGCACCAAACTTAACAAAGCGCTCAACTTGGGCTTCTTCTTTCTTCGTAAGCTTGAATACATCTTTTTGGTTGCGGAAGAGATATATTTTCATGGCATAAATTAATTTTGCCACTAAGCGAGCACGATGTACTTCTTCTGGAGCCCTCCAGTGGATTGTACTCGGTGGATGTCCCAAAACAATCAGAGTCAACTCAATCAGCTCCATGTAATCATCTCTGACTTGTTCCTTTAGGTGCTCTTTGGTCAGGACTGCAATGTTTGCATCTGATAAACTGGAAGCTTCAGGTGTCACCTGGAATTCTGAAAAATTCTGCCTGGTGATGACACTCCTACAGCCTTTGAATCGTTTGAAAAGCTGGATATCTGGGGAGTTGGAAGGTCCACAGCAGATGGTGAAAACCTTTGACAAGATGATCTCCATTACATGATGACGACAGGCTAACCAATGAAGTTCACGACCTATCCTGTTTTCAAGGCTAACACATACTCCATTTATTCTGCCGGTATTTACTGAGGTTGTCTCAAAGCACAGGGCCTGAACCTTCTCAACCAGCTGCCACTCCACCAACAATTTTTGAACACCATTTGCTTCATTCTCACCAGTTCCAGAGCTCACCTTTGGCCCACCTAACAGTTTGTCCATCCCATCACCTGAAACTAAAACTGGTAGCCTGTCAACTTGGCCTTCCCCAAATATTGCTGGAAGTATCTTTCTATCCCAATGAATTACTAATGGGCAAGTTGGCTCAAAATTATCTTTCATTGCTTTAGAAATTTCATGCCTAGCACTTGACCGCGCTCGTTGAATAGTGCTTCGTGAAATAGGAAGTGCATTTGGATCGTGACCAATGGCTGCAGCAATAAGTAGTCAAACAGCTTCACGATCAGATGTTTTATTACGGTCAAAGGCACTTGTTACACTTGGATTGAACAATTGGTCTGGTGAGATTTTCTTTACTTAAGTTATCTTGTCTTGCTGTTTACCTGATTTGCTAATTTTGGTTGTTTGTACTCATCGTCATATTCAGTTTCATCATCAAGAACACTGCTTGCAGATGCACAGTCATCATCAGGCTGGGCAAGGGCGGCTGCTGCTGTAGATGCTGGAGGTTGCGGAGCCTTGCTCTTTCTTTCCTCTTCTTTTTGTCGCCTCAGTTCTGATCTTTGTTGTTTTTCAGCAAACTCCTTATCCTCGGTTGTCATTATCATGCTTCTCTCAGTTCTCTGATCATTGAGAAATTCCTTATCTTGTTCAATTTTGATTTTTGTCATTGCATCGGCATGTGCAATATCAAACAGTTGACTCAGTTTTTCTGCAAATTCTAGTTCTCTTGATTTCTGTGCCTCAGATTTCCGTCCTTTGTTTTTCTTTAACAGCAGCCAGGCATCATGCAATCTTTCGAACTGTTCAACCTCCCTTAACTCCCTTAACTCAACTTAGCTCTGTGACAGTAACACTAAACAGGAAGTTATGACATAGAATAGTTTAACAGCCAAACCTAAGTAAGTAAAATATAATACAGTAAGTAAATATGCAAAATGTCAATTACATGAAAGTTCTGCAATTTTCTATGAAACTTTGAAAATCCATAGTCGTTGAGCATCACCTTACAGTTGGCACAAGAGGCTGAAACACTGCCCTAATTAAAAGTTTGCTATAAGGAAAAAAGTTAGAGGGTGTCTTGCTCTGTATGTGAAAGTTGAGTTTTTTGGGCCACCCTAATGGGGATATTATGGTGATGACATAATGATGATGACATGGTGATGCCATGGTGATGACTTGTTGATAACATTGGGACATTGCTATTTAAATATTTTTTTAGCTCCAGTGGCGAGTGTTTATTGTATACCAGAGTACAATTTAAAAAAAAACAACAACACAGGGACGAACATATTGGTTTTATTGTGTTCGAATCATTTATGGCAATACGAAGTTACTTTTAAAATGTTACATTTCTTTACGAGAATAGTTTCATTATTAAAAGAAGAAATATATAACTATAAATAACAATTGCTGTGATAACGTACGTGAACGCACTTCACTAAATTAATGTGTCAATTGGAGCCATCTAGTGAATTCATGAGAGTAAATAAATCATTCAAAGAGAGGTCCGCTGGGACGAGCATATTAACAAGGTGTGCAACAAGGCAAACAAGACCCTGGGGTTCTTAAGGCGCAATTTGAAGATTGGTAAATCCTGTGTTAAAGAAAGAGCATATAAAGCCTTTGTCTGTCCAGTTTTAGTTTATGCGTATTCAGTCTGGGACCCTTTTACCCAGAAGAGCATTGACAGGTTGGAGGCGGTCCAGCGACGGGCAGCACGCTTTGTCCTGAACATCTAGTGTTGGCAGCATGCTAGAAACACTAGGCTGGTCACCATCGGAGGAACGACGACTATCCAGGCTCTCCATAATGTACAAGATAAATAATGAGCTGGCCCACTATTCCAGTATTAAACAGAAACTCGTCCCTCTCCCACATAGACGGCGACGAGGCCATGACAGGCAATTCCGGCTCATACCAGCAAGAAGCCAGTATAGGAATTGCTCATTCCTGCCAAAGAAAATCAGGGACTGGAACAAGCTTTCAAAAGGAACAGTTGAGGCGACAACACTTGACACATTAGGATTCCCCATATTAGATCTGTAGTCAGGGCATGCTTCTGTCATCTGCGCCACCCTGCGTCAGCTGCGTCCTCAACTCAATAAGAGAACAGCCAAATGCTGTAGCAGTAACTCTAATCCGGTCAAGATTAGATTACTTTAAAAGTTGTTGGTGGGGTTTACCTCAGAAGCAAATTCAGACACTCTAGAAGGCAAAGAATACTACAACACGCATTGTATCGCGGATAAAAAAATCTGACCACATCACCCTAGTTCTACGAGATCTCCATTGGCTTCCTGCAAGTGAGCGCATAGCCTACACAATTCTTTTCCTGGCGTATAGCTGTATAGAAGGCTCTGCACGGAATATCTTAAAGAACTGATTTATAAACATGTATCCTTAAAGAACCTGCGGTCTTCAACACAGTCCTTACTGAGAGTTCCCAGTGTGGATGGACACAGCAAGAAGTCATACGGAGTGCGCTCTTCAACACAGTCCTTACTGAGAGTTGCCAGTGTGGATGGACGCAGAAAAAAGTCGTACGTGGTGCGCTCTTCAACACAATCCTTACTGAGAGTTGCCAGTGTGGATGGACGCAGAAAAAGCGCTCTTCAACACAGTCCTTACTGAGAGTTCCCAGTGTGGATGGACACAGAAAAAGCGCTCTTCAACACAGTCCTTACTGAGAGTTCCCAGTGTGGATGGACACAGAAAAAGCGCTCTTCAACACAGTCCTTACTGAGAGTTCCCAGTGTGGATGGACACAGAAAAAGCGCTCTTCAACACAGTCCTTACTGAGAGTTCCCAGTGTGGATGGACACAGAAAAAGCGCTCTTCAGCACAGTCCTTACTGAGAGTTCCCAGTGTGGATGGACACAGAAAATGCGCTCTTCAACACAGTCCCTACTGAGAGTTCCCAGTGTGGATGGACACAGAAAAAGCGCTCTTCAACACAGTCCTTACTGAGAGTTCCCAGTGTGGATGGACACAGAAAAAAGTCGTACGGGGTGCGCTCTTCAACACAGTCTTTACTGAGAGTTGCCAGTGTGGATGGACTTAGAAAAAAAGTCATACGGTGTGCGCTATTTGGTAGCGATAGCGCCAAAATTGTGGAACAGTTTGCCCCAATCTTTGAGGGACATTGAAAATGATAAAAAAATCATTTAAGAAACATTTAAATACTTTTTTTTAATTTAAATAGATTTAAGAACATCAGAGCGCTGTGAGCATGCTAAAGTAACATGGATACAAGCGCTATATAAATATTCAATTCAATTCAATATTTGCGTCTATTGCCTTAGGCCTTCCAACCCCCAGTGCATGATACCCTAACAAAGTAGCACTTGCAATCAGTGAAATATACTCATCAACACCAGGCACGGAAACATTGCAAATCCCCACTACATGCTTAGGAGCCAAAATGATCAATACATTAATCGTGGGCCCTTATTATATATGAAAGAAGAATAAGAAATGTGTCTCGTGGTACTAATTAGTGAATTAATGTGTCTAGGGATGCCATCTAGTAAATTAATGTGTCTATTGATGCCATCTAGTAAATTAATGTGTCTAGGAATGCCATCTAGTGAAATAATGTGTCTAATAGAGCTCCACAACTGGAATGCCACGGCACAATGGTGTGCCACGAAATGACACTAGGTGTGCCGCAAAATAACACTGTGTGTACCGCAAAATGACACTAAGTGTGCCACGCAAGACGCACGGATCGCGCCCATATGACAAAACTGTGTTTTTACAAAAGTGATATATGTTAGCCTGTCACCAAACTGTCAAACACTGTGGCAAAAGACATGTGTCCATTTCAGAAACTTAATAATGGAAGAATGCAGTTGAGACACCTAGTTAGCCTCACACGCATTTATGCTTATTTTTTAAAAAAAATATTGTATTTGTTAATTAGTACTACTCGCTCATGTTCAGTTCACTGATGCACCCTAACCCTAACCCTAACTCGCTCATGTTCAGTTCACTGATGCACCCTAACCCTAACCCTAACTCGCTCATGTTCAGTTCACTGATGCACCCTAACCCTAACCCTAACTCGCTCATGTTCAGTTCACTGATGCACTCTGTTAATTAGTACTACTCGCTCATGTTCAGTTCACTGATGCACTCTGTTAATTAGTACTACTCGCTCATGTTCAGTTCACTGATGCACTCTGTTAATTAGTACTACTCGCTCATGTTCAGTTCACTGATGCACTCTGTTAATTAGTACTACTCGCTCATGTTCAGTTCACTGATGCACTCTGTTAATTAGTACTACTCGCTCATGTTCAGTTCACTGATGCACTCTGTTAATTAGTACTACTCGCTCATGTTCAGTTCACTGATGCACTCTGTTAATTAGTACTACTCGCTCATGTTCAGTTCACTGATGCACTCTGCACTCTATTATAATTTGCATTCCGCGGATTTTTTCTAAAAACTGGAGGTACGCCGAGAAAGAAAAGTGTGGCTAAAGTCTGTAGTAAATGATCATTATTGCTAAAAAGCATATACACAGAGTATCATTATACACACAGTATCATAAATAAACCTCGCGTATCATTTGTATTTTATGTATAAATATAAATAGATAAAGTATAAATATTTTGCCTATGGAAACATTAAAATTCAAATTGCCAAGTTCATCCAATTCTAGACAAGATTTCCTACTGACATCAAGTTGGCAGTGACTATTAATAGTGATATAACCCAGTTATTAAAGTTGGCAGTGACTATTAATAGTGATATAACCCAGTTATTAAAGTTGGCAGTGACTATTAATAGTGATATAACCCAGTTAGGTCGCATGCTATTATATTATATTGTTATACAGGATTGATTCGAAATACCTGGGGTAGTGGATTCCATAGTTTTACATACAGGCGGCCATAAGGAAAACCAATTTCACGATTATTAAGTACAACTCTGGCCGTCTGCTCAGTCCTGAACACCGCCAGAACTGCATTGGTTGCCATCTGGTAAAGAGCTTCTAGTTTACCGAATCTTTAATAAAGGGAGATAGCTCAAAATTAACAAAACAAACAATTAGCATAAAAGAAAATGTTGGAGATGCAATTCTCTTAACAAAAATTTAATTGTAAAAAGATATTTGGCGTCAGAGTCGATTACACCATAAGAAAGTCAAATTGAAAAATCTAGCTTTCTTGTTACAACATTGTGTGTTTACAAGATTGCAAATTTATAAATTTTGAAATTGTTATCCCGGTAACAACGGATCATATATTCTAGTTATATATAAAGATTGAAATTGTTATCTGAGAACCTTAGAATGTGAATGTTTCAAATACTATAATTTACCTTGAAAGATATTGATACAGAAAATCTACTGAAAAGGCAGGCACCTCTTTGCTGATGTGCCAACGAATTTGTAAGGTTGATTGACTTGGCAATTTACTCAAAATTGATTTCAGGTGACCTACATATTTTTTCCTGGAATTCCTGGGTAAAATTATTTGTTTGTGTTACTTTATTTTACTTCTAAAATTTAAATATTAAAATAGTAAATTTACCAATTCATAACTCCATCAAGATTATTATTATTATTATTATTACAGTGGTCTGACATACCGGGTTACCACAGCTAGCCAGATACATAATAATTTCGATATTTTGTTGTTGTTGAAATATTATGATCTTCCCCCTCCCATCCCGGGGAAGCGTTAGACGCCCTATAAGAGGCATTCTACAGTGGGTTTCCACAACGCAACTAATTCGCGATGCACCAGGGACGAAACGGTTGCCTTGGAGCAGCTTCTCAGGGCTGCGTAGTAAGAATCATCGGCCAGAGGTTACCACCTTCGCCTCATATCCATTAAAGGCAACTTGTAATCATGATCCCTACCCTGTCACTGTCTATTGTTCCAGTTGGGAAATATCACAACTGGCAGCCCTGTAGAAGCTGTTTTATGTACGGCAGGTACCGAGCACATCCCTTGTCTGCCCACGCGGGACGCGCCCAGTGGTCGTGTTTTCCGGGTAACGTCGAGGGGGTCGGTGGCCGACGCCTCCTAATCGACAAGCCACCACAGACAAGTCAACCGGAGACCAGGAACGGTTGTTGAAATATTGAACACTACGATTGCTCAACATCTTACCTCGTGTATATTTGCGACTGATCAAGTCTTTCTCTGTACGGAAGAAGATCGTACATTAGAGAATATCTGTCAGAAGTCCAATGTTTTGGCCTGAGTGGATGATTGAGAGATGCATCTCTTTTCACAAGTTTGTTCTGCCAGCTAACAAAGCAGGATTCCAATGCATAGGGGTTGTCTATCTTGGGCATTTTATTACCCTTTTATAATATCAAATGCTGGAAAAGTGTTTGTAAAAATAAAAAAAATATCAACAGGTCATGTTAGTTCGTAACACACCTATGTAAAAATTACTATTATTCTATTGAGGGCTGTGTGTGTTCGTAGGCTGTGTGAGTTCGAATGTTGTGTGTGTTCGTAAGAGTTCGTAGGCTGTGTGAGTTCGTAGGCTGTGTGTGTTCGTAGGCCGTGTCAGTTCGTAGGCTGTGTGAGTTCGTAAGCTGTGTGTATTCGTAGGCTGTTTGTGTTCGTAGGCTGTGTGAGTTTGTAGGCCGTGTGAGTTCGTAGGCTGTGTGTGTTCGTAGGCTGTGTGAGTTCGAAGGTTGTAAGTGTTCGTAGGCTGCGTGAGTTCGTAGGCTGTTTGTTTTCGTAGGCTGTGTGAGTTCTTAGGCTGTGTGAGTTCGTAGGTTAAGTGTGTTCGTAGGCTATGTGTGTTTGTAAGTTGTGTGTGAGTTCGTAGGCTGTGTGTATTTGTGGGCTGTATGAGTTCGTAAGCTATATGATTTCGTGGGCTGTGTGAGTTCGTAGGCTGTGTATGTTCGTAGGATGTGTGTGTTCGTAAGCTGTGTGAGTTCGTAGGCTGTGTGAGTTCGTAGGTTGTGTGTGTTCGTAGGCTGTGTGAGTTCGTAGTCTGTGTGAGTTCTTAGACTGTGTTGGTTCTTACGCTGTGTGAGCTCGTAGGCTGTGTCTGTTCGTAGGCTGGGTGTGTTCGTAAGCTGTGTGAGTTTGTAAGCTGTGTGATTTTGTAGGCTATGTGTGTTCGTAGGCTGTATAGGTTTATAGGCTATGTGTGTTCGTAGGCTGTGTGAGTTCGTAGGCTGTGCGTGTTCGTAGGCTGTGTGAGTTCTTAGACTGTGTGTGTTCGTAGGCTGTGTGAGTTCGAAGGCTGTGTGTGTTCGAAGGCTGTGTGTGTTCGTAGGCTGTGTGTGTTCGTAGGCTGTGTGTGTTCGTAGGCTGTGTGAGTTTGTAGGCGACGTGTGTTCATAGGCTGTGTAAGTTCGTAGGCTGTGTTTGTTAGTAGGCTTCGTGAGTTCGTAGGCTGTGTGAGTTCGTAGGTTGTGTGTGTTCGTAGGCTGTGTGAGTTAATAGGTTTACTGTGTTAGTAGAATTTTGTGTGTTCGTAAGCTGTGTGAGTTCGTAAGCTGTGTGTGTTCGTAGGCTGTGTGAGTTAGTAGGCGACGTGTGTTCATAGGCTGTGTAAGTTCGTAGGCTGTGTTTGTTCGTAGGCTTCGTGAGTTCGTAGGCTGTGTGAGTTCATAGGTTGTGTGTGTTCGTAGGTTGTGTGTATTCGTAGGCTGTGTGTGTTCGTAGGCTGTGTGAGTTCGTATGCCGTGTGAGTTCGAAGGCTGTGTGAGATTGTTGGCTGTGTGAGTTCTTAGACTGTGTTGGTTCGTACGCTGTGTGAGCTCGTAGGCTGTGTCTGTTCGTAGGCTGGGTGTGTTCGTAAGCTGTGTGAATTCGTAAGCTGTGTGTTTGTAGGCTGTGTGAGTTCGTAGGCTGTGTGTGTTCGTAGGCTGTGTGACTTCGTTGGCTGTGTTTGTTCGTAGGCTGCGTGAGTTCGTAGGCTGTGTGTTCGTAGGCTGTGTGTGTTCGTAGGCTGTGTGAGTTCTTAAGTTGTGTGAGTTTGTAGGCTGTGTGAGTTCTTAGACTGAGTGAGTTCGTAGACTGTGTTGGTTCGTACGCTGTGTGAGCTCGTAGGCTGTGTGTGTTCGTAGGCTGGGTGTGTTCGTAGGCTGTGTGTTCGTAGGCTGCGTGTGTTCGTAGGCTGTGTGAGTTCTTAAGTTGTGTGAGTTTGTAGGCTTTGTGAGATCTTAGACTGAGTGAGTTCGTAGACTGTGTTGGTTCGTACGCTGTGTGAGCTCGTAGGCTGTGTGTGTTCGTAGGCTGTATGAGTTCGTAAGCTGTATGAGTTCGTAAGCTGTGTGTGTTAGTAGACTGTGTGAGTTTTTAGGATGTGTGAGTTCGTAGGTTGTGTGTGTTCGTAAGCTGTGTGTGTTCTTAAGATGTGTGATTTCGTAGGCTGTGTGAGTTCGTAGGCTATGTGTGTTCGAAGGCTGTGTGAGTTCGTAGGGTGTGTGTTTTCGTAGGCTGTGTGAGTTCGAAGGCTGTGTGGGTTCGAAGGCTGTGTGAGTTCAAAAGCTGTCTGTGTTCGTAGGCTGTATGAGTTCGTAAGCTGTGTGTCAGTAGGCTGTGTGAGTTTTTAGGCTGTGTGTGTTCGTAGGCTGTGTGTGTTCGTAGGCTGTATAAGTTCGTAGGCTGTGTGTGTTTATAGGCTTTTTTGAGTTCGTAGGCTGTGTGTTTTTGTAGGCTGTGTGTGTTCTTAAGCTGTGTGAGTTCAAAGGCTGTGTGAGTTCTTAGACTGTGCGTTCTTAAACTGTGTGAGTTTGGAGGCTGTGTGTGTTCGTAGGCTTTGTGAGTTCGTAGGCTGTGTGTGTTCGTAGGCTGTGTTTGTTCGTAGGCTGTGTGTGTTCGTAGGTTGTGTGAGTTCTTAAGCTGGGTGAGTTTGTAGGTTATGTGTGTTCATAGGTTGTGTGTGCTCGTAGGCCGTGTGTGTTCGTAGGATGTGTGAGTTCTTAGGCTGTGTGAGTTCGTAGGCTGTGTGAGGTCAAAGGCTTTGTGTCTACCTAGTCTGTGTGAGTTCGTAGGCTGTGTGATTTCATAGGCTTTGTGTCTTCCTAGTCTGTGTGAGTTCGTCGGCTTTGTGAGTTCATAGGCTGACGTGACGTCCCACGAATATACAACAAATTCTCTAAATTGGTAAGCATGATGCCCTCGGGGATGGGGTGGGATGGTTAAGTAAACCGTAAATTCAAAGCTCCATGAGGATGTAGAGAGTAGAGTTTAGTGAGTAGAAAGTAGATAAGATAAGATTCTTTTATTGATCCAAACAAATCGAAATGTTTTATGATTGCATTGTAATTGTACATTTTTAGCAACCAAATAAAACAATTTAAACACTAGACATTTATATTAATAAATTATTTCAAGAGTAAAAAAAAAGAGCCATTCAGTGAATTATCTTAGCCATATCAGGGATTTATTAGTTCTCATTAAGATTTGTGACTTCAGGGGGAAGCCATGACAAAAGGCTAATAGTCTAGTTATGTTAATTAATTTTATTATCCCAATGTAATACCTTTCCTACTATTATTACTATTATATTTTAATCTACAGACAAATTGCAACCTGACTTAACTGTCGCTTACAAATAGCAACATTGACTTATCTGTGGCAGACGAATAAAAACATTTACTTATCTTTGGCAGACGAATAGCAATATTGACTTATCTGTGGCAGACGAATAGCAACATTGACTTAACCGTGGCAGACAAATAGCAACACTGACATAACATTAACTTAACTGTGGCAGACGTATAGCAACAATGACTTAACTGTGGCAGACAAATAGCAATATTGACTTAACTGTGGCAGACAAATAGCAATACTGAATTAACATTGTCTTAACTGTGGCAGACGTATAGCAACAACGACTAAACTAAGGTAGACAAATAGCAACATTGACTTAACTGTGGCAGAAAAATAGCAACATTGACTTAACTGTGGCAGACAAATAACAACAATGACTTAACTGTGGCAGACAAATTGCAACAATTACTAAACTGAGGCAGACAAATAGCAACATTGCCTTATCTGTGGCAGACGAATCGTAACATTGAATTAATTGTAGCAGAAAGATAAGAACATTGACTTAACTGTGGCAGACAAATAGCAACACTGACTTAACTGTGAGAGGCGAATAGCAACATTGCCTTATCTGTGGTAGACGAATAGCAACATTGACTTAACTGTAGCAGAAAGATAAGAACATTGACTTAACTGTGGCAGATAAAATAGCAACGCTGACTTAACTTTGGCAGACAAATAGCAACATTGACTAAACTGTGGCAGACAAATAGCAACACTAACTTAACTGTGGAAGACAAATAGCAACATTGACTCCACTGTGAGAGACAAATAGCAACATCGACTTAACTTTGGCAGACAAATAGCAACTTTGACTTAACCGTGGCAGACAAATAGCAACCCTGACTTAACTTTGGCAGACAAATAGCAACTTTGACTTATCTGTGGCAGACAAATAGCAACATTGACTAAACTGTGGCAGACAAATAGCAACAATGACTTAAACCTGGCAGGCGAATAGCAACATTTTCTTATACTTGGCAGACACATAGCAACATTGACTTAACTGTGGCAGACAAATAGCAACATTGACTAAACTGTGGCAAACAAATAGCAACATTGGCTTAACTGTGGCAGACAAATAGCAACATTGACTTAACTGTGGCAGACAAATAGCAACATTGACTTAACTGTGAATGGCAAATAGCAACATTGACTTAACTGTGGCAGCCAAATAGCAACATTGACTTAACTGTGGCAGACAAATAGCAACACTGACTTAACTGTGGCAGACAAATAGCAACACTGACTTAACTGTGGCAGACAAATAGCAACATTGACTTAACTGTGGCAGACAAATAGCAACATTGACTTAACTGTGGCAGACAAATAGCAACATTGACTTAACTGTGGCAGACAAATAGCAACATTGACTTAACTGTGGCAGACAAATAGCAACATTGACTAAACTGTGGCAGACCAATAGCAACATTGACTAAACTGTGGCAGACAAATAGCAACATTGACTAAACTGTGGCAGACAAATAGCAACATTGACTTAACTGTGGCAGACAAATAGCAACATTGACTAAACTGTGGCAGTTAAATAGCAACATTGACTTAACTGTGGCAGACAAATAGCAACATTGACTTAACTGTGGCAGACAAATAGATACATTGACTAAACTGTGGCAGACAAATAGCAACATTGACTTAACTGTGGAAGACAAATAGCAACATTGACTTAACTGTGGCAGACAAATAGCAACATTGACTAAACTGTGGCAGACCAATAGCAACATTGACTAAACTGTGGCAGACAAATAGCAACATTGACTTAACTGTGGCAGACAAATA